CTATAATGCCCTGGAGATTGCACTGTCTATACACTGTAATGCTATGAGGCAAACACTAGGTAACTTTTCTATAATGCCCTGGAGATTACACTATCTATTACACTGTAATGCTATGAGGCAAACACTAGGTAATTTTTCTATATTGCCCTGGAGAGTACACTAAGCCACTATACAAAAATACCCTTGGTGACCTCTCGTCCACTAGTCAATAATGCCCTACTCTAGGTCATTATTCTCTAATTCTTCTGGGGAAAACACTGGGGCAGTACTCTTTTATTCTCTTGAGTGAACACTAGGTTGTTATGCTTTAATGCCAAGGGTTGAACACTGGGTCACTACACTATAATGCTCTAGTGAGAACGCGTAAGAATAAAAAATTGAATAAAAATAAATTAATTTCACTGCATTAGTCATTTTTTTCTTTCCTTTGTAAGGTGCAAATTCTCGTCTTCCAGCTAAAGGTAGAATAGGTCATGTGACAGCTGTGCGGGATGGAAGCATACTGATTATCTCAGGTGGTTACAGTGGTATTGTTCTGAGTGATTTGATTGGTTATAAAGTTCCCGGTTCTATTGCTTTAAATACGATTTCTCATCTGCCAGCATGCCATATGCATTCAATGTAAGTATTGTGTGTTTATTGCGACATTGTCACAATTACAGTAAATTTATAGAATTGGCTAACACGTACACTCAGTAGAAAAACAAAGTATTCATGCTCATGCCATCATTTGTGTTCGGTGATGTGATTTATTTTCGGACACATACTACATTGTTGTTGCATCCAATGTAAGCAAAAAAGTGTCAGATGTGAGGCAAAAGTGGCGCATATTTACAAAAATGAGGAAGATATTCAAACTTGTGTGTAACACCTTCATACTGTACTTTACATACAGATGAATTATATTGTTTTCGGTGTAATATTATGAGGTTATTACGAGACAGCACGACAGTGCAGGGTAAGTATCGACCAACGTGCAGCGGAGGTCGATGCAACGGCATGCTGTGTGACTGCATACCTTGAGGTATTCTTGTAATAACCTTATTATTATACATCTTTTGTTTCCAAGGATACATCATGGGAATGCCGAAATCCAAAATGTTTAGAACAGAATCAGCGAACTTCTTTGTTTGGAGTCCGGTCAAACTCTGGTGGCAGCCACAGGGGGATTCTTCATGCACATAATTGACATGTCTGTACCAATTGGAACATCAAGCATTTTGACATGATCGTATAATTCTGCTGTTACTAATGTGTTCGATAATTGATGTCTGTTATTGTTTGTAGTAAGTCACAGTGTTTAGATGATCCTGATTGTGCCTGGTGTAGAAAGAAATATGCTGATAGCAGAGCTGGATGTTTGGCATTTGACGAAAAGGAGGTATGTCTATTTACTTTTTGACCTGTAAAACTGTGAAGTATATTTTGCATTCAAAAAATAAAACTAATATTTTTCAATTTTTAGTTTTTGAATTGATATTCAAAGGGAGTTAAATTCACTATGGCAGTGATGATATTCTGTATAATACTTTATTTTCGCTGAAGGAATGATTCAGTGAAAACACCTTTTTCCCTATATTTCACATTCAACTTGTCAAAAATCAGTGAAAATAAATTCCATACAAAACACCCAAAATGTTTTTTCAGCGAAAATTAATTCAAGCTAAAATAAAGTATTTCACAGTATTCAACTTAACACATTTACTAGGTTCACCTACTCTGCAATTGAAAATTTTATGAATATTCTTTCAGTTGTGTGAGAATGGTTTCCAAACTGGTGACTGTCCTGGTCTATGTAGTGTACTAAAAGAATGTTATGCGTGTATGGCATGGCAGCATGGCGATACAAGACTGTCTGATACGCCTCAGCATGTGGTAATCAACCAACAATGTGGATGGTGTGTTGAAGACAGAAAATGTTACCCAAAAAATGGTAGGTAATACAAACCCATGCATTACGTCATGTGATATTGTGGTGACATGTGCACTTATACGGATTATAACACTTAGTATTGATTATTCAGCTCCCATAGAATAGTGTGGTGACATGTCCACTTATACGGATTGTAACACTTAGTATTGATTATACAGCTCCCATAGAATATTGTGATGACATGTCCACTTATACGGATTGTAACACTTAGTATTGATCATTCAGCTCCCATAGACTATTGTGGTGACATGTCCACTTATACGGATTGTAACACTTAGTATAGATTATTCAGCTCCCATAGACTATTGTGGTGACATGTCCACTTATACAGATTGTAACACTAAGTATTGATTATTCAGCTCCCATAGGCTATTGTGGTGACATGTCCACTTATACAGATTGTAACACTAAGTATTGATCATTCAGCTCCCATAGGCTATTGTGGTGACATGTCCACTTATACGGATTGTAACACTTAGTATTGATCATTCAGCTCCCATAAACTATTGTGGTGACATGTGCACTTATACGGATTGTAACACTCAGTATTGATTATTCAGCTCCCATAGGCTATTGTGGTGACATGTCCACTTATACGGATTGTAACACTAAGTATTGATTATTCAGCTCCCATAAACTATTGTGATGACATGTCCACTTATACGGATTGTAACACTAAGTATTGATTATTCAGCTCCCATAGGCTATTGTGGTGACATGTGCACTTATACGGATTGTAACACTTAGTATTGATCATTCAGCTCCCTTAGGCTATTGTGGCGACATGTCCACTTATATGGTTTGTAACACTTAGTATTGATTATTCAGCTCCCATAGGCTATTGTGGTGACATGTCCACTTATACGGATTGTAACACTTAGTATTGATTATTCAGCTCCCATAGACTATTGTGGTGACATGTCCACTTATAAGGATTGTAACACTTAGTATTGATTATTCAGCTCCCATAGGCTATTGTGGTGACATGTCCACTTATATGGTTTGTAACACTTAGTATTGATTATTCAGCTCCCATAGGCTATTGTGGTGACATGTCCACTTATACAGATTGTAACACTTAGTATTGATTATTCAGCTCCCATAGGCTATTGTGGCAACATGTCCACTTATACGGATTGTAACACTTAGTATTGATTATTCAGCCTCCCATAGGCTATTGTGGCGCCATGTCCACTTATACGGATTGTAACACTTACCGG